GTACTGGCAGTGTTCAAATGAGAAAGAAAGACCTATATTTTTAGATTTAACTCAAAGTGAAAGTTCCTCTTCACACCAGGATAATTTTATGTGTAGACAAAAATATTTCCTGGAGACATATAATAATAATTTGAAATAAAGGACAGTATCATAGTCATAATATGAAAGACCAACAGCTTGCTTTTAATATGCAAAACAGGCAAATGACTTTAATAATTATTTACTTGTTGACATGTATAGGTAACCTTCAGCTTCAGATTGCGTGGGATAGCACATGGCCATGTCCTCAGAGTCTAAGAAAGGCAGGATATCCCTGAACATGCTCCAACCAAAAGGGTAGAGAGGGTAGCAGTTTAATGTAGAGTCTAGGCTGATTTGCAAACTATATTTTGGTTTTCAAATAAAATCTTTTTCAAAGCCACTTAGCAAGTGACATCCTTTTACACTGGAGTTATATTCTGGGATAGGAGAATAAATGAGTGGAATTGAACTTACCCAGGTTTTCCAAACCTCTCAGCTCAGGATCACCAGATCTCAGGATTGGAGTGCAAATGGGATAGGAATTCAGCCAGCTAGAGGTGCAAGTTTCTCTTCTGAGCAGTCTCTGTAGGCCTTGGGGGCAGCAGATAGATACCAGTGATAATAATTGTCACCATATAAGTACGGTGATTATATTAGTTTGCTGGGATTGCCGGAACAAAGACCACAAACTGGGCAGCTTTAACAACAAAAATTTGTTGTCTAACAGTTCTGGAGGCTTGTAATCTGAGATCAAGGTGTTGGCAAGCCCAGCTTCCTCTGAAGGCATGAGGGAAGGATCTGTTCCAGACCTTTCCCTGGCTTCGTTTATTTCCTTGCCTTGTGGCAGCATAGCTCCATTTTTCACATGGCATTCTCCCTGGGTGTCTCTGTCTTCACTTGGCCATCTTACAGGGACATCAGTCATATTGCATTAGGGCGCCACACTGTTCAAATAATATTTGCAACAATGCAATTTCCAAATAAGGTCACATTCTGATGTACAGGGGGTTATGACTTCAACATAGGAATTTGGGGAGAACACAATTCAATCCATAATAGGTGACCATATATTCTTATTGTCCTAATTGAGAAACTTGTGGAAGTGAAAGGGAGTACTCTTAATAATTGCTCTGGGATAACCCACATAAACACTCTGCCTTGGGCAAACGTGAACATATATATGGTCACTACCCATGAGACAGGTACAAGTTACTCCATTTTCAGAGGCTGGGTGAGGTTGAATAACTTTCTCAGAATTAGAGCTAGAAAGAGTGAATGGTATTCAAACTCAGATCAATCAGATTCTATAAAAGGAGAAAATCTATGCTTTTAAAAGAAGTTAACATTTCCACATCTTTAGAGGAAATTTCTGTATTACAGCACTAAATTAGATAGGGAATGAATTTGTTGTGCTCCATTCCCTAAAAATCCTTTGTATTCTTTTTAACTCTATCTTGCTTAATCAATTTTAACTATTATGAAAGAAAAATAAAAACCTAATAAATTATATTAGGTTTAATTAACATATAATTTACCTGATGACTACAAGCCTTTGATTTTTATTTGCTGGTTATTCTATTAGTATTTGGAAAGCAAGACCACCCATAAAGCTCTGTGATACAAAGAGAATAGTCGTTGAATATTAAATTACTTTAGGCTCGCTAGTAAAGTTCTGAAATAATTTTTTGTAAGTGTAAAGCACTTTACTATTTTTATCATGCTTTAGCCATAATCTAGATTTGATTTGTTGATTGATTTGTTAATAAAAGGAAACATTTTAGCATTTTTTGTGATTCATCACTAAAGTAAAATAAACTTACTTTGAAAATCTAAAAAATTACCTTGCCCTTTTATTCTTTATGAAGAAGAAAATAAAAAAGTTACCTGGAATTCTATGACACAGGAGTTACCACTGTTACCTTGAGCATTTGGCTGTTTTCTTCTAGTCCCTCTTCTTTGTGTGTTTGCAGTAAAGGCTCAGTGGTTAAGAAATCAATAAATGATAGTTCTGCTACTCCTTCTAGTGCTGCTCATGCTGTTACCACTACTACTTCTTCAGTATTATTTTCACTTTTGTCATCGTTGTCATGGAAAACAATTCTAGAAATACCAGAGAAATTAAGTCAACATGACTTAAAGACTCCATGTAGAGAGTAAACACGGAGTATTTTTTATGGCTACTGGGTTTCTTATTTGGTAACTGGATGACTGTGGTGTAACTAAGCAGGACAGCATACACAGATTCAGAGGATAAAGAACATGAGTTCAGAATGCTGAATTTGAGTTGTTTGTGAGATATTCAAATGAAGATCCTTGGTGGACATGGTTCTTTTAAGACCGGGCTTCAGCAGAGAGATCTGGAATTAAGATAAGCACGTATTATCAGATGGAGTTTAAAATAAAATTATATTTTCATAGTTATTCAAATAAAATGGACTCTAAGCCTTTATTCTTCTGACTGTGAAAAGCCACACACCTTTCTAGAGTCATGACTATAAAGTCGAGAATTCCAGGCTGACTTACCTCGTACAAAGATTGATTTCATCTCATCCAAGAAGTTCACAAGTCTGGATAGTTCATTAGAGGTTTGTTCCTGTTTGTGCTGCCATTGTTATTCTTAGTTGTTTATGTTACGAGGTGTTTTTTCCCCCCGTTTTGGGTGGTTGTCATCACAGTGTCCAGTTCAAAGGGTGGGTCCTGGGTTCTCCTCAAGGAGAGGCTGGTAAAATGCTGCTGTCCTGGGGGCTCTGCTGCAGTGACTTCCACACGGTATTGCTGCTAAAAACAAACAGTTCCTAGAACAGAGCAAGGCCCTATGTGTCACATGGGCCTCAAAACCCAGGAATAGCTGTCCTTTTTGTGAGCAGTGTCAGGGACGGAAGAGGTCAGGGACGGATGACGGAAAGTGGTGACTGGATTGAGCACAGGGAGCTCATTGTTGACCTGATAAGGGAGCTGGAGTAATGCTGGTGACGCCTGGATTGAAGGAAAATGAGAATCCCCTCGGACATGAGAGAGTAGAGGACCAGCATACACTGCTTGTCAGAAGGCTTTTCCTTGAGCAGGAGTGAAGAGACAGGTAGAAGTTTTACATTTGCTGAAGGCAAATATGTAATGGTATTGATATTTGATTGCAGTTAGGGTCTAGCATCCTGCCATGCAAGTGCATTGTTAAGTGAAAGAATGAAGAATAATTGAATTACTGATTTTGAGTTACTGTCCATTCTAAATAGACTTTGACCAGAGGGGAGCATCAGATTCCTCCTGGTGATAAAATTTTGTCTTGTTTTTGTTTTTTTTAATGTGTACATGTTTGCTTGCTTGTTTAAAAAAATTGGTTTGGCTGTTTTCTAAATAATAACCTTTGGATGAGAGGTACTTGGTTATATCAGCATGTATGGATCAATTATTATTTAGTTTACCTATGGTTCTGTTTAATATGTTTATTATCAGATGGAGTTTAAAATAAAATTATATTTTCATAGTTATTCAAATAAAATGGACTCTAAGCCTTTATTCTTCTGACTGTGAAAAGCCACACACCTTTCTAGAGTCATGACTATAAAGTCGAGAATTCCAGGCTGACTTACCTCGTACAAAGATTGATTTCATCTCATCCAAGAAGTTCACAAGTCTGGATAGTTCATTAGAGGTTTGTTCCTGTTTGTGCTGCCATTGTTATTCTTAGTTGTTTATGTTACGAGGTGTTTTTTCCCCCCGTTTTGGGTGGTTGTCATCACAGTGTCCAGTTCAAAGGGTGGGTCCTGGGTTCTCCTCAAGGAGAGGCTGGTAAAATGCTGCTGTCCTGGGGGCTCTGCTGCAGTGACTTCCACACGGTATTGCTGCTAAAAACAAACAGTTCCTAGAACAGAGCAAGGCCCTATGTGTCACATGGGCCTCAAAACCCAGGAATAGCTGTCCTTTTTGTGAGCAGTGTCAGGGACGGAAGAGGTCAGGGACGGATGACGGAAAGTGGTGACTGGATTGAGCACAGGGAGCTCATTGTTGACCTGATAAGGGAGCTGGAGTAATGCTGGTGACGCCTGGATTGAAGGAAAATGAGAATCCCCTCGGACATGAGAGAGTAGAGGACCAGCATACACTGCTTGTCAGAAGGCTTTTCCTTGAGCAGGAGTGAAGAGACAGGTAGAAGTTTTACATTTGCTGAAGGCAAATATGTAATGGTATTGATATTTGATTGCAGTTAGGGTCTAGCATCCTGCCATGCAAGTGCATTGTTAAGTGAAAGAATGAAGAATAATTGAATTACTGATTTTGAGTTACTGTCCATTCTAAATAGACTTTGACCAGAGGGGAGCATCAGATTCCTCCTGGTGATAAAATTTTGTCTTGTTTTTGTTTTTTTTAATGTGTACATGTTTGCTTGCTTGTTTAAAAAAATTGGTTTGGCTGTTTTCTAAATAATAACCTTTGGATGAGAGGTACTTGGTTATATCAGCATGTATGGATCAATTATTATTTAGTTTACCTATGGTTCTGTTTAATATGTACTGATTTTATGAAATTCTTTTAAAATTCATCACCCTGAGATAGAATATGAAATCTTTTTTTTAAAGAAAGAATCAAAAACCAGTTAAATAAAGATCCCACCACCACCACCATAATGAGTAGTACAGTGACAAATTGATAAAATGAAATCTTTTTAGCAAATTCTTAAAACTAGGAGATTTTCTTTGGTCTCAAGTATTAAAAGGAATATGCAGCAAACCTGCTGCTGGAGAAGGTAGTTTGTTTCTGAGTACTGAAAGTGCTCTGGGCTCAGCCCTCTCTGCAGGAGGGCATGGTGGCTGTCCACTGCCCTGACTCGCCCTTGGTGTGTCAGCTTTGCTGTGCCTGCAGCTTCTTCTTGGCAGTGCACAGGCATCTGTGGTGACCAGGATCTGAGCATGGGAGTGGTGGGAGAGTGCTTGCTTTATTACTGTATATTTTTCTGACCCAGAGGCTTCCTGTATTTGTAGGTGAGCGCCCCTATCAATGCCCTTACTGTGAAAAAGGATTCAGTAAAAACGATGGACTGAAGATGCACATTCGTACTCACACCAGGGTAAGATTATATTCTGTCTCATTAATATTGATTATAAAATGCACACTTATTTTTTTAAAAAGATATTTAACTTTACATGAGGAAATAAAGGTAATATATCTGAAATTATATATTTAGGCTTATGATGAACATTTGGGGATAACTTTTTTTTAAAAAAAGACAAAACAATTAGAGAAACAAAAAATCCAAACTCACCCAAAGGATCTCATTCTTTGAATTGTGTTCTGTGAGCAGTTCAGCCTTCAGCTACATTTCTTAGCTTACTGTTCACTTTAGGCATGATTATATACTTCATATAAACTTTCCACTTGGAAATTTTGTTTTTTAAATAGCTTTTCTTGATTTTGCTCAATCCATCTTTTTGCTGCATTAACTTTCACATAGTTTCCTTCACATTGGCCTTTTAAAAGTGTTGTGATCTGTATATAAATAACATATTTTTTCAAATTTTAAGAGACATACATAATCCCCTTAAGAGCAGTTCAAATTTAGGCCTCTCATGTATTTCACTTTTTACCTTAGCTATAACATAAACTTCAGAGAAAACACATAATAATAATATCCTTTCGAGTATAGTAATATACTAGCCTTCTTCAGTTCTATAGGCCATAAAAGATACCCTCTGAGTTCCTGTTAAGAAAATACTTTCTGATCTTTGTGATAGAAGAGAGAGACAGCTTCTCACTAAAGCAAGTCTGTAACAGGTTTCTCATTCTGGTTTACAATATCAAATTCACATTACATGAATATTAGGAATTGGAGCACTTACTAAGTAGAAAATGACTTCATAACCAATAAAGGATTAGACAAATACTATAGCTCATGATAATACAACTTAAATGTACATATTCAAAATGTTCATTTCACAATGAGCATTATTAGGTTAAAGTTAGTTTTATTTAGGAGTTACTTTATTTGTGTGCAGTTGTCCTAGTGGTGTCAATAATGTATTTGAGCTCTGTCAACATACAGGCAGAAAAGCCTGGTTCCTCTCATTGAAACTAGTGATGTTAACCAAAATCTGGGTGTTATGGGTGCATGTTATGTAGATTTGCATGATTAGAGATGATGGACTTGATTATACCACAGAAGAGGCCTGTAGTGATAATGGCAGAAAAAAAGTAACTTTTGGGTTTTCTCAAGGAAGTGTGGTAATTCCAGTTCATCTAATTTGTTTTTTACTTTGTTTAAATATAAAGCTTTTCAATAAGGCTAATACCAATAGTTAAATACAGAGACAACTAATTTCATGTCAAGTAATACTGTAGGCCTTCATTTTTTAATGCATTTAAGAAGCCTCACAACAATTTGTAGATGAAATTAGCAATTCATTTTGGCCTCTGTGAGATAGGTACTATGATCCCTTTTTAAAAATGAGAAACTTAGGCACAAACAAGTTAAGTAGCAAAGTTGAGAGTGGAACCCTGGCAGACCTGACTACAGTGATGACCCCCTCACCTACCACACACATTTGCTTTTTATTGCATTAAATATTTTCTGACCCCACTGACTCTTGACACATTTTCCTGTATATTTTCAAACTAAACAAACTGTAGTAGTGACCCCAAATTTAAAAGTCTTATGTTCATTTGAATATTTGAACCTTGCCTCAAAGATCCCAGCAATGCCTCTAGGTGTCTATGTGCAGGTGGTACCTTTTCAGCAGGTCCCAATCACCAACTGCACAAAAAGAAAGCAAACTCCAGCCTCTGACTGAGGGAACAGTAGGAAGTGTCTGGACTAGAAGCACACAGGATTTTAGACAGAATCCCATACAGTGAGCAGAGACTAGCAGTAAAAAGATAATTTTAATCCTATTATAAACAACACAAAGCTGTATCATCCAGCAATTTACGTGTGTGGGAAATTTTGGTGAGTCTACACAAAATGCCATGCCATGCCTGCACTCCCAGGTTTGCATTCTGTGGTTACCACATGGACACCTCAGAGGAGGAACACAAAATCCTTTCGCTCTGGCTATTGTTCATAAGGTCTAGTAGATTTAGAGAGAGGACAAGCAGAAGTAGAGGGGGGTGCTACACATAAAGTGCTTAAAGAGCTTGCTCAGCTATTACTGTTTTTATGTTTGGATAACTGGAAGAGCTTAAAAAACAAATTTAATTACTTTTTGAAAGTTTATTATGGCTTTAGAGAAAACTTTGAAATTTATTTTTGTTTTTAATTTTTTAAATTTCATCAGCTTTTGTGCTTGTGGGCACGAGAGGATATGACTCATTGCCACTATTTGGAAACATCTTTAATTTGGTTTAGAATTAATAAATCTTCTATTGTTTTTAGAATCCACATATTTCTTGGGGAATTTTATATGCCTTACAAATGAACCACTTAAGATAAATGGCTTTAAGAAACTATTGTATTCTATTTGGCTCAGAAAGTATACCTGCATGAAATTGAACATTCTTGTTCTATTACAATAAGCTGACTTTTCCTTTGTAAAAGGGAAAATCAGACCATTTGAAAAATAACTTCCTTTTCAGGGATTGACAGCATCATTTTCTCCCTTTCTTTTTCCCTTTTTCTTCTTTGTGAAAATTCTTTTTGGTGGTCATCAATCCACTTGGCAGAGTGCCCCGTCTTACTCTCTATGCAACTGTGCTCATGAGCTAGTCAACTTTCTTAAAATCACCAGTGAAAAATGTTTTCAGTTTCCTGGTTAGGAATACTTTTTTGACACACCAAATCAAGTTCTTAAGTCCTAAAATTAGGACTTTTGGTCCAGATATTCTGGAATGTGATGATTGGTTCCCTGAATTCCCTTCGGCTTTGAGAGTAAGAGGTAAAAAACTTAAAATAAATTGTATTTCATGCCCTTGACAAATTTATTGAGTAGGTAAATTATCATATAGGAAAACAGAAAAACCTTTTGTGGAACTAAGTTCTGTTTCACTATATTTAGGGTTACAAGAGTAGAGTGACATTGATAGAAGGGATTGAACTGGACCTAGGCATCAAATGTGATTTTTCTGCAGAGTTTTTAATGAAACTTTTGATGGCAGATTTGCTTGTGTAACACTGAAATCTGTGTAAATGAGCTAAATTAAGTAAGAGCTTTCTTTTTAAATAGTAGGCCTTATAATTGGTGTGGCCGAATATTGGGATGGCTGAAGTGAATAGGCTCATCATCATCATAACATTTTCCCCCAAATCCTTTTTAACAAAATTAAATGTCAATGAAAAAATCTGAAACTGGTTTATTTAGCAGTATTGTAATCAGGAATGATACCTGTGTGGGGCCTGTGTTGTGTAATTCTTGTCCTTGGCACTGGTGGTCTGGCAAACTCAATCATGGTTGGTCTCTGCTCAACTGTAATGATCATGAATAAATGCTAGTTGGGATGTTCTCTGTTGAGGACTTTTTTCCTGATTAGGACATTTTGTGATTAAAGCTGTTTAAAATATACAAATGTGTGTTTTTGAATTTAACAAACTTACTCTTACAATTTGTTTATATGTTTCTCCTTTTTAGACTTTGATTTCCATGTGGGCAAGAATCTTACTCTTCTTTTACCCCAGCCTCTGTATGCCTGGCACCTAGTGGATAATCAAATTTTTTGATTGAATGAAGTAAAATTATATCAGAAGTGATATTAAATATACCAGTTTAACTCAGCAAGTATACAGCTTAATTAACTATATGAATTCATTCATTATTTATTCAGCAAAAAAAAATACCTTCTTATCTTTGTGATAACATTTACTTAGTGACTACAGTGTGCTACAAACTGAGAACATAGCAATGAACAAATCGGATATTGCTCCTACCCTCAGTCAAGCTTGGAGTCTCTTTATCATAATAAGCAATTAGGATTTCCTTCTCATACTCAAAAGTTATGAGAAGACAAGGGTGTGTACATTTAGTAGATACTTACATTTAGTAGATGTGTAAGTGTACATTTAGTAGATGTGCCATTATGTGCCAGAAATCGTGGTGTCAATTTGTGACATCTTCCTGTGTCCATTAGGAAAGATGGGCACTACAGACATAATTTTAAATAATAAAGAATAGCAATCATGTATGGAGCAGGAAAGTACTAGGTCACAGGTGATACCTGGGCACCACTCCTAGTCTTGAAGTCCTGGTTCCGTCAGCTGTCTCCTGTCTCATGATGGGCCTTACTTGTTGTGTTCTTGGTGGTTTTCCGTTACACCTGCCTCTCTGCATTGCCCTGTGTTACAGTGAGGGGAGGCAGTTCTCTGTCTAGGCAGCAGTAAGCGATTGTGCGACTGCTACTCTGTGCTTGATGTACCATGTTGGTGTACACTGGGCCAACTTCTCTGCTTACATTCTTGGAGATCTGTGGTTCCCTGATGGAGCCATTCTCACCCTATTTATCTGTGCAGATACACCTGGCAGATAAATCCAGATGAGCTGTGCACCTCAGGCCTCAGCATGGACCATGTACAGTACTTCAAGCTCCAGCCTTATTGCTCATTTAGGAGAGCATTTGGGACAGAGATGAAAGAGAATGATGTTCTTAGGGGATATATTAAAATCCATCTCATCTGTAGGAAGGGAAGTAGATCATTTTGCACACTGCAATACTTTATTAGTAATGAGAAATCATTTTACAACTACTCAGATACATCACCATGCCAAGGCTTTACAGTTGTGACAGTTGATCTAAAGGTTGTGTCTTAGATCACAAAATACAGGAACCTCTTTTCTTCTGCAAATATCTATTAAACCTACTGTGTACCAGAGTTGTGCTAGGTACTACAGACCCAAGACTTAGGGGAGCATAGTGTAGTTTCAGTTGGCCAACTAACTTTTAGTAAGTCAATTTCTATGTTACGTGCTGTGTATTCAAGAAAGAGTGAAGAAGAAGTTCTAGCCTATAACGATTCTAGAGGAGGAAATGATCAGATAGAGCACGACAAAGATTGTGCTAGAAGTATCCGAGAGAAGTGGCACCTCCATGTAGGAGGGGCACCTACCTCACGGTAGAAGAAGGCAGGCCAGGGAAGGTGTCAGGAGAAAT